CTCTCCCCCTAGATTCAATAGATTTAAAGAAGAAAAAGAGGTATAGCGGTTGGTGGAGGGGTGTAAATGACCGTCCAAGAAGTATACTAAAAATATCAAAATGTATTTTGTGGTTTAACTAATATTAAAAATGATACATTCATAAGTCCAAACAAAACCCTGCATGGGATATGTTTGTATATTCAGTGATACAATATATAATTCTAAATATCCAAGTATTCATACATAACATGATATTATTCACATATTTTTTGAAAAAATATATTTTTTTGATAAGTAGCATTGTCCTTAACGTGGCTTAGCTTAATAGGCCCCGACGCGTTTCGCCACTGGCTTCATCAGGGGACCCACTGAGGATGGATCATGCAGGGTTGGTTTGCGGAGTAGAGGCGATGCCTAGAGAATCGAGAGGGCGGGTGGCGGGTGGCCCCACCTCCTCCCTCACGGTCTCCTTGGTTTGTCACACCTGGGACCTTAGGGTTTTACCGAGAGAGACGGCATCAAGTCGTCCAGCCAGATTCACCAGGAGACGTTATCCGAGGTAAGATGTTGAGGCAGTAGAGCTGTATTTCTATTGGGTCTCCCTGGTGTCGTAGAGCTAGCTATATGCCTCCGTGGCGATCTCCGCTGGGGTTCCCTATATTTACTAAGTTGACCACCACTTTGATAGGACCTATGTATGTCCTGCTATCTCTGTTACCATTCATATTCTTGCAGAATATAAAATGTGGCGGGTACGGACTGCAAGAGGGGAGGGAGACCCGCGAACATGCTTTTGCTGATCTCTCCTCCATGGAATGAACCCGGAAGCGACAACGAACCCCTCCTGTGGCTGGGGAAGAAGCTGATTAAGCACAATCTGTGCTTGATTAGCTTCATTGGAGTGTGAAGGTGACATTAGGGGTATAATACACCACATATGTTGGGTATCACTGTGCAAGCCAGGGTGAAAGCAATAATTGTAGGGCCATTGCGCATGGTTAACTCTAAACCAGGGGTGGGCAAACTGTGGCCCTCCAGGTGTGGTGCAACTACAAATCCCATTGAGGTGTTGCAAGACCCTGACAGCCACAGACACGACTCCCAGTGGCCACCCCTGCTCCTAACTGATGCCATGCAAAAGCTTTTAAGCTATCGCTTATGGACAATTGTGGGTACTGTAGTTTTTTGCCATTTCACAGACACACGCAATTTTGAAGCTTGACATTTTTGGTATCTTTTTACTCGGCGCAAACCTGATCTTTTATATTTTACCCAAAAAATGGGTAACTATTGTGTTTATGCACACTAAAATGTATTTAAATGTATTTTTACTGAAGCTTGGGTTTGATAAACAGTTGTGCCAATATCATGCGACATAAAAAATTGCAACTGCCACCATTTTATTCTACAGTGTCTCTGCTTTCAGGAAATGTAACATTCTAAGAGGGGTTAAGTATTCAGGCATAAAATGTGGATTATAGCATGTGTGCAAAAAAAAGCAAAAATGGCTCTGGCAGCGAAAAGGGTTAATGAGACCCTGTCACCAACTTGGAAAATTGTAAAATCACTGAGAAATCAAGTACTTACCTCCTACCTCCAGCAAGGAGAAGTCAGTGCTCCCCCTGCCACTGCTGCCATCTTTTCCTGGTCTTCTTCCAGCCCAGTGTCCCCTTTCTTTTTGCGCACTGAATTTACATTGTCCCCACACCCAGATCTATTTGTAGCATCTTGCAGATGGAGCGCACTGCACTGTGCCTGATCTGCAGGCAGTCTACACGAAGGAACATGTACAGGCAAACATATTAAACAGTTTTTTCTTTTGGCAGAAAAGAGTTGCAAAGTTTCTTTTCCCAAAAAAAACACTACTTACTAGATATTTTTTGTAATGTTTAGTTTCACTTTAAATCAGCTGCACAGCAATCAGTTCCTAATTTTCGTTGTTTGCTTATTAGTCCCAAGCACAATGCTAAACTGCACAAAAGTAAATGCTAACGCATGAATTGTAGTAACCCCTGACAACCAGGTTTCCTCTTACGGCATCATAATGTAGTCAGACTAATGATATATGCGTTTTAAATTACTTGGTATGGATTGCTGCACAGCACTGCTCTCTGCACTAGGGCTCAATGAAATGTTATATACAGTAGATGTAGATAATTATATCAATGTGTTCATTTTTGTAAACATATTATAGATTATAATTGTACCAGTTCATGGGAACTTGGAAATGGCCATATTTGAGCATAACATATGCATCCTGTGCTTCCTACTTAGTAGTGTTTTATGGTGATTCTCAACCATTGGTAAATGTAACCCCGTGGCTATTCCTACGGGTCCCCACACACCTTCCGATTATCGTACGAGAATCGCGGGAAATCCCGCGATCGTACGTTTTTTAAAGTACCTTACAACCATTGCAAGACAGAAGTCTTGCGATGGTTGTAAGGTGTGTGCCCAGCTTACTTCTTAAATATATCAAACCTCAATCACTAAATGCTTTAACATGTTAATGTATTCTCAAACATTGCTTTACATCTTTTTAATTTGGCAGCTTTTATTAAAGCTGAACTCTGAAATAAACAAATATTGTCTAAATATAAGAGCCATATACTGTATATTTCTTTCCTGGTCATTTGTAATGTAATGCCACATCATGGCCACCAGATGGAGCTGAAGAGCATAGAGAATACTTATTTCCTATGTTCCTCATCGCCACGTAGTGGCCATAATGCAATACTAAGAACATTTGTTTTTGCCTCTATTCGCACAGATTGAACATTCACAGAGATTCGCAAATTGTTTATAAATAGACCCCACTTGCTCTGTGAAGGAGTTTCCTGTAATAAAGACAAGTCACTGCTGCTCTTTCCCGCAGCTCTGCTTTCTGCACGGTCTATGAACAGCACTGTGACATTTTTACTGCTACTTTTATATGGTAATTTACTAGGTTTGCAAAGGTGTGTTGAGCACACAAAGTGGATTATATCATATGTGGCTATTGAGGAATATATTGCAATTAAAGTTTTTATGCCTGTAGATTAGCTTTCAGATTATTCCTTGAGATGTTGCCATGTAGGTCCACCCTGGTGGCAGGGATAAAATGTGCTGGTGGTGCATGCTATGGGAAGGGGAGGGGCAAGGGTTGTGCATCATCCCGCCAGCCAGAGCGTCCCGCTCAACTGCGATCAACCAGTGACGTCACTGGATGCCAGGAACTGGGCGGGATGCCAGTCAGAGTGTCCCAGTTTGCTACGAGCCAGGCAGGGGAGATGTGTATGGCTCTTAGCAGCCTGGGATGCTCTGACCAGAGCAGCAGGCACACTGCAAACATTGTGCAGCAGAGCGGCCATACCGCCCCCCTCCCCCATGTGACCCAAAGAGTTGCCGCTAGAGGCAGCAGCCCCAGGATGCCTCATTATAAGGACGGATGCGATCATACAGGATTTATATAGGCCATCAGTCTGCGTAGTGCTTTATATAATAAAGCGACCCATTACAGTTGCCATATAACTCAAGACAAGAGGATTAAACATAAACTCCAGGCACACACATGGTCATTTAAAGGAGAACTATGAGGTGAGTGCTCAGTAGATCGGGAGGTGAGCGAACACATACCGGCGTTCGCTCACCTCTCGATCCTGTCACGGCTCTCTGCCGTGACAGGGGACGGGCTGGATTCCCCCCTACCTGCTCCGATCCGCCAGCGCTGACTGGCGGAACGGACGGGGGAGGGGGCGGGTACAGCTGGCTTTCCCTCTAGATAGGCAGAGCCAGCTGTCAGTCACGCAGCTGGGCGGATCCCGTCACAATTGTCGGGATCCGCTTCAGTTGCGGCGTCTCAGTATACCGCGAGCTACTGCTCGCGGTATAATGACCCAAGGGTGACGGGAGGACGCTAGTTTGTGTCCTCCCGTTACCCTAAGGAGAACTATGGGGAAAAGCCCTAACCCCATAGTTCTCCTTTAAGCATGTTTCTTAATCACCACAAAGGATATAAATCTACTTTGTGAGCACTGCATGCCTTTTCATACCTGGTTAATACCTTGTAAATGTAGTGGTGACATCATCACTGTGCAGCACATAGCCTGTGCAGAGATCAGACCCAGCAGGTCCATCCACTGCCTGCAGAAAACTACAGAAGTGGGCGGAGACAAGACCAAAAACCCGCACAGGGAGAAAAAAGCAGCATTGACTGGTCTTTATTACAGGAAACTCCTGCACAAAAATAGAGATTTAACAGTGAACAACTAATACACATACCTCGTATATTTAGGCAATATTTACTTATCCTGGACTTCAGCTGTAATCCAAAGTATGCCATTGGAAAACAAAAAAACGACATTATAGCTTCCCCTCTAAATGACACCATTTTTGTCCATGAACCCCATAAAACTAAACTATAGCAGAAAATAGTATTTAACATTTTTTAGTCATTCACAACTTCGAACTATCACGGTTTATAAATCCGCATGCTAAACCTAACCTGTACATTTGTTCCTGTGTTATATACGTGGCAATCCCGTGCAAACTTTGGGTGGAAACTGCATTAATATATTTATTTTATAGAGGTGAAGCCCACGCCCCTTCTCGCATGGTTTACAATGCGAGCGCTGTGCATGCCGGGAGTTGAAGTCTTCCCTGCGCTGCAAAGCGAACGTATCGGCGGAGGGTGGACTACAACTCCCGTCAAGCGTGGTGTCAGCGGTCAGTCATGGGATGCAGCGCAGGGCGAGTGGAGAGCTAGCTCAGGAGTTTGGGCAGCGGGGAGACGAATTGTAGCCAGCGTAGACCCTGAATGATACTTCCACAGCTTGCAATGAAGCTGAGACTCTACATAGTGTGAGCTGCATGAGGACTGAGAGGAAATACATTGTGAGCACATGTGTGTGCTGGCAGGATATAAACTGGGTGCAACACGCAAGAAATGCAAACCAGAGGCAGCTGTTACAACACAAGGCAGGAAGCAGTTTTTTCTGTAGATGGAAGTATTGTCTCACAGATACAAATGTAAGATAAGAGATCCCCAGAGTTGGGTCTGAGAGCAATCAGTAGATGAGGCTGAGCTATCAGACTTGCCTTGGAAGTCATCAGAACCGTCCAATGACATATACCTGGATGCAGGATACTGACCCTGATGGTAATGTTTACTGGTGACAGATCAAATAGATATGCCAGGTGTGGAAGACAGAAGAAGCAGCCAGGACCAAGCTGCTGAAGACCCTATGACATCCTCACTGACTGGAGAAGCTACCAAAGAACCAGCAGCTAAACTTTGCGGCAATTTGGCAAAGCTGTCAGGGAAAGGGCCCCTGAGGAGCTTCAAGAACCGCTGGTTTGTCTTTGACCCTCGGAAGTGCTACCTCTACTACTTCAAGAGCCCTAATGATGCCCAGTCCCTGGGATATATAGATATTGGAGATGCTTCCTTCAGCTATGACATGGAGGTGGAAGAAGGCCAGTTTGAGATCCGTAGCTCTGGACGGGTTTCCATCCTCAGGGTAAAATGGCGATGTTATGTTGCAAGATGATTGGCCATATTTTTTTGTCAGCATAAAGTTTTAAATTGTAACTCCAGCCAAAACTTTGTTTAAAGTTTTGTAAAAAGTATTAGAACCTCTGTTGAGTTTTTATTGCTCTGTGGCTCCATTAGAGAGGTTTATGGTGGGACAGTAATGAGTAGAGGTGAGCCTTGGCTTGGTGCGAACCCAGTTCATGTGAATTCACCCAAGCCCGCACAAAACTGCGATGTCCACTTCGCCCTCCTGCCCTAAACAGTGGCGGGGCATTCTTTGCCCCTTTGTGACGTATAGTTGCAGGGTGGGGAATGCGCCTCTCCACAACTGATTGCAGTCACAGTTATGAGCAGGCTTGGGTAACAAGCAAGGGTCCTCATTAGTAATGAGGAGAAATCTTCCTAAAGGATCCCCAATGTTAGTAAGACCTTACAGGGGTTCTTATCCTTTCCTATTCTATCCAAAACTTAAAAAAAGCTTTGGACGTACACTTTTATTTGGGACTAGAGTTATAGTTACATTAAAGTTACATTCACAGTATTTGTTAAGTATGTTACTAAGGGCTGACAGTTTAGAGCTAAGTGTAACCTTATTGTCGTCTGATATTAATATACAGTTACATTTTTCATTATATCCAAACTTACAAGCAACATTTCTCAAATTTATTTGTATAGTGGTACTTTAAAGATGGACTTGAATCTGTTACTTTAAAAGAGAACTAATGGGGTAAGTGTTTTTCCCCATAGTTCTTTTAAGGGTCATGTGAGGACATATACTAGCGTCCTCCTGTGACCCAAAGCTCAGTATATAGCAAGCTACTGCTTGCGGTATACTAAGACCGCCACAGCCAGTACGGATCCTGACATTACTGTTGAGATCCAGCCAGCTGCGTGAGTGACAGCTGGCTCTGCCTATCTAGAGGCAGAGCCAGCTGTACCCGCCCCCTCCCCCGTCCGTTCCTCCAGTCAGCGCTGGAGGATCGGAGCGGGGAGGGAATCCCTGCCGGGAGCCGTGACTGACAGTCACCGCTCTCTGAAGGGAGATGATCAAGAAGTGAGCGAGCGACGGTATGTGTTCGCTCACTTCTAAATCTATTGAGCCGACGTGTGACAGTTTCATTGTCACATGTCGGCTCGAACTATGAGGATGAGTGATTTTCTCTCACCTCATAGTTCTCCTTTAAATATATTCCTCAATAGCCAAAAAGGATATAAATCCACTTTGTGGGCACCAAATGTCTTTGCAAGCCCCTGCTCTGACTACAGGCTGCCTGTAGAAAACAACAGGAGAGGGTGTATACAAAACCAGTCACCCTGCACAAGGAGAGAGAGCAGAAGTTACTGGTCTTGATAGCAGGAAGCTCCTACACAGAGGTAACATTTCACACTGGATTACTGCACAGATCTGTAAGAAATACACAAAGCTCACCAATATTCAAGTAACAATACACATATCTCTAATATTTAGACAATATTTGCTTATCCAGCTTTAAAGGTACATTTACGAGAATTGCACAGCGATCACATCCTCGAGGGCTTCCAGCCAACATGCACATACACTGTTCAGTGTGTTTTGAAGCAGCCTCCCCATGACTGCATATGAAGCATAAACTGGGAGCACTGGGTTATCTTTTTCTGTCTACTATATCTGTATAGGTGGACAATATAGGAGACCATTTTTGTCCACCGGTCACCTACTAGTGACACCCGTTTCTGTCTCCATTTGGCTGCTGTTGTATGTCTGTATGCGTACAAAAGGAGATTATTGTGATTTTGCAGTTTTACATAAAATGATATTCTTACTATTGTATGGCCACTTGTAGAACGCATGTATACTTCCACGACCATCTGGTTTTGTGCCTGTTGATGTGTCATCATTGCTTTTAATTTAAATATAAATTGTATATGACTCAGACATTTTACATCTGATTTCTAAGAATCCAAAAAAGAAGATATTTAACATGCTCCCTTTTCTTTGCAGGGAAGAGTCTGACTATACAAGACAGGAAGTCTTGTAACAATAGCCTCTTCTGGGCAAAAAACAAAGTTCTGTAAAAAAACAAATACATTCAGTATCAATTTGTTTACGGGAATTCATTTTGATACATAACAGGAAGCAGTTAATAAATACTGTATTGGACTTTAGGACATTGTGAAATCATTGTGCATTCTTGGGGTCAGGCAAACTATGAAATAAATAATTTTTCACAGTTAGCAAACAGGAGTCAGTTCCTGGTTATGTCTATTCTATTTACTTGGCGAGTAGTTCATATACAGTACTGTGGAAAAGTTTTAGGCAGTTGTAAAAAAATGCTGTGACGTAAGAATGCTTTCAGAAATAAAAGTGTTAATAATTTATTTGTTATCAATAAACAAAATGTAAAGTAAATGAACAGAAGAGAAATTCAAATCAATATTTGGTGTGCCTTCAAAACCACATCAATTTTTCTAGGTACACTTGCACACAGTTTTTGAAGGAACTCGGCAGGTAGGGTGTTCCAAACATGTTGGAGAACTAACCACAGATCTTCAGGATAGTGGAGGTGTTTGGAACAACCTACCTGCCGAGTTCCTTCAAAAACTGTGTGCAGTTGTACCTATAAGAATCTGTTAACAGAAACTGTTTTGAAAGCAAAGGGTGGCCACACCAAATATTGATTTGATTTGGATTTCTCTTCTGATATATAAAATATGTTATGTTCTTTTCTTTTTTTTCTTGCCATAGTTGCTATCACTCAAAAAGGAATCCCTTAGCCTGGCAACCCCAGAGCCGCAGTCCTAGAGGATAATCTGATCGCATACTCCTGTTAGAATTCTCATATCTAGCCTGAAGCCTCTCAGACTGGGTAACAACCTTAGGTTCAGTCACAGCTGAACAAGGCATCCCCCATATCTCTATATACCAGTAGTGGACATCACAATAACTCTTGAGGCAGTATAGCTAGCACAGAGTCAAACATAGACCATTTGTTCTTAGAGTCCTTCAGGGGCCATTTTTCCATACAGTTTTGCTAAATGACTGCAAAGTTTAGCCTATGGTTCTTTGATGGTCTCTCCAGTTGGCGAGGATGTCCTTGGGTCTTTTTCTGGACTACTTAAAAAAAGCTTCATCTCTTTTCTTTTTGTCAGAGGTTCCACAGATTATGTCTGTGAAGGTTCTCATTCATCCAGGTCAGGGTATGTCTGTAAAAAATAAGTCAAGGCAACTGGACTTGCTGTATTTTTCAGTTGCCTTGACTTATTTTTTACAGATATTCCACAGATTATATGTAATTTTCTGCTACTGTGGCAGTAACTGTTTATTTCAATTCTGATCTTCCACTAGGGCAAATCAGTGTTCTCACTTCCTGCTAGATTCTTTCCCAAGATGGCCAGGGAATTCCATCCTAATGAGGACATCGGTTTGACCATTTCCCTCTCATTCCTAGAACCATGCATTTTATAGACCGTACATCTGACTCTCTGTGGTTCTAAATGGGGACGGATTGTTGGCTTTCATTTCCTCCATGAGACATTGAGTTCAGCAGCTTTATTGTTTGTGCCTGATCCATCAAAAACCAAGTTAACCCATTTATGGTCACATTGTACTTCAACAGGGTTCTCTGTGAGTCCTTTGACAGCAAGCATCTTTTTTTTTCTTAAATCTTCTTCTTGAGTACCTCTTAGACAGCTTTGCAGTATGTCAAGTGTAAAGCATAGAGAAAAGAAGCTGCTTTTAGCAATCTGTTATGTCCCTCAGTGAATTACATTTCGCAGCGAGTACAAACGCCCCGTTTAGGCCATAGTTAGAGAGACCTCATGATAAGCACTAGTTTACTTTTAAATATAAGACGGGCATTAATATTATCACCTTTCAATCTCTAGGCTTCTAATAGGCAGGCCATGGCCTACTGGTTACAGGAATTGCAGCAGAAACGCTGGGAGTATTGCAACGTCCCTGGCACATCAAAGAGAGACAGTATACTGAACACTGTGGCTCTGGAAGGCCCAGCTGGACTGGTGGCCAAGGAAAGTATAGGTAAGTAAGCTGTGATTGCTTTTATTTTAGGATTTTACATTGAAGCCATTTAACTGGATTACTATGGTTTTGAGGTTTCCAGAAATAATCCTGTAACTCTTTCAGATGTCTTGTTTGTCAGTTTTATAAAGTTTCTTTATAGCAGGTACTAACAGGTATGGTTGTTTTCAGTTCTGAAGATATTACTTCTCTCCAAGTGCTCCTCACAGTACTGTTCATGTGGCAGTTTACCTTCAGTGTCAAGCTTCATGTTCACAAGAATGATCTGGGCTCCATGTAGTCTCAAGTTATTTAAATTTGTCCTTTGTTTTGTAATTTGAATAGTTGTAATTTGATGTATTGCTGACAACATAGACACTCCCTAGTGCCTGTGCACACACGCCTGAAAAAAGAAAAACTCACAGAAGTTACACAGAATAAGTACATCATGGGGTCTATTTATAAACAATTTGCAGGGCCCTTTGCCCTGTGAATATCTGTGAGCATTTGTTTCGTGCGAATAATGGCAAAAATAAATGTTCTTCATATATATTCTTTTTAGGTTGAATGTTTTGTAATGTAATACTGTATTATGGCGACTAGATGGAGCTGAGGAGCATTGGAAGTAAGTATATGCGATGCTCTTCAGCTCCATTTAGTGGCCATAATGCAGTATTACACCACAATACATTCACCCTGAAAGGAAAATATATTAAGAATGTTTGTTTTTGCCATTATTCAAACAAAACAAATGTCCACAGATAATTGCAGGGCAAAGGGCCCTGCAAATTGTTTATAAACAGACCCCTATGTGTTTTTGTCAGGGAGGTTGAATTTTTCAAGTCCTTGTTATAATGCAGGTTCTGTAACAAAGAAATTCCGCTTTTGAAAAGTGCCTAGGTTGATACATTTCCCTGAAACCAAACACCACATTAATAGATTGTTATTTTTTAGAATACAAAAATGGAGCTGCTTGGCCACGTTGTTTACTACAGATATAAGGAACACTCGGGTCACGCAGACAATGAAAAACAAATAGTTAAAGCTGAACTCCAGGAATTTTTTACATTAACCCTTGCAGTAGGGCTACCACCGTAAGTGCAAGGGTTAACTGCTTGTTTTTGTCTAAGTTTAAAAAAAACAAAAAAAACAAAGAATTACTGACCCAAAGCGGAGTCGGCTTCTTCTGGAATGTCTCTTCCCCCTCCTCTGCAGCGGTCTAAGGTCCAGTAAATAATCATGTGTATAAACAGGAGAGCGCTGGGGAACATTCAAATCTGCGGGGGAAGAGGGGACAGGCTGGAGGGAGCGCCGTGACAGCTGGCCGACTGGGAACTTTGGGTTAGTATATCTTTGGGTTTTTAGAACCTAGACGCAAATGAGCACTTACCCCTTGCAGTGTGAGTTAGCCCCACTGTAGGGGTTAATACAAAAAAGTTCCTGGAGTTCTGTTTTAAGGGACAGTGACCAAAGAAACACAATCTGACTACACAAAAACCTGTTTTGTATATATAGTCAGGCTTGCGTGTTTTAAGAATGCAAAAAACACTAAACTTGTTCTGGTTTTATCTTTCTTGATCAAAACAGTGGTATGCATGTTTTGTATGCTGGAGCATTGTCAGGAATGTACATACTCAGTCTGCAAGGATTCACTCTGTTAGGGTTAGTGTATATGGGGAAGAGAACCGTGTGAAAGCATAAATATATTAGGAAGAAAAGAGGAAGGAAGAAAATGTTAACCCTACCACATGCATTTTGACATGGTGTGCATTTCTGCCTACTATTCTATCTCTTGCTATGTCAAGCTTTTATTTTTATAATTGAACTTCCAGCACATCAGCTTGGAACTCTAGGCTAACACCAGAATGAAAATAATTAGCAATCTGATACTATATAACACTCCGGGTAGTCTTGTTTTATATGTGGCCTCCTGTATCAAGAAATGGACCTGGTGATCCTGCCAAAAAAGCTGTATTACCTGCTTATGAGGGACCATGCTAAAATGTGGCCACTAATTGGTCCCCTAGCACCCATACACTATGCACCAGTACTGTACACCCTGTGAAGAAGTATGGCATGATATGCCACCATACTGTCAGTTGGGACATCAGCATTGTCATCTGTGAAGAAACATCTCATCCAGCCTATACTCAGAAGACTGGCAGGTCTGGACAACAGAAAAGGGGTATAATGAGTGGCTAGTAGTAGGGACAACCACTTCTACACAATAGGAGTAGTAGTAGCGGCGACCAGTAGACAGGACAGGAAGATGGCAGGTAGCTGACTGCGGCTTTCCTCCCAATAAGTACTTGATTTCAGGCAGGTAAATAGGTTCAGAGCATCATGCTATCTGCTGAACATTCTTGGAAATATGGAACTTCTGAATTTCTTCTTTGAGGTTTGCTTACCAAAATATAATAATACATTTTTTTTTTTTCACCAGTAACTTTACAAATCATGGGTACATAAATGAAAATACATACTTGACTATATATATATATGTGTGTTGGTTAAATGATGTCACTGATTTTGCAGACAATACCAGTGTGCCGAATGTTAATGATGCTGCAGAGAGAGCTCGGAACCACTTTGCGGTTGAGATGTGTCCAGGTGTACTTGGTGACCAGACTTCGGACCATAGCTCTGGGCATACAGCTGCAGTGCAAGGCCTGCTCAGACAGTGGAGCAACGATATCAGGTATCATGTGTCTGCTGAATCCAGAAAGCCATAGTCACATTTACTGGAAAACAGAACCAAGATGAATCTGATTGCACTGGTCAGTCCAACCCATTGCCCTACTGAAACACCAAAAGTGAGGATGACTAGTTAGGGGGGTGAGCACATAGATCACTGTACATGAGGAGGCTTTGCAGGAGTTGCGCCATTTGTCACTAGGAAGCTCCCAGGAAAGATCTCTGTATGTGAACATGTCTGTCTGCCTCCACAGTATGTAGTCCCACACTTTTTGTTGAAAAACTTTCTTTACGTAAATGTAAATCATAACTAATGAGCATTTAGTGAGCGGAAGTATTGTGCATCAGAAACCATTGCCATTTAAAAAACAAAAACAAAAAAAAAACACCTTTTTTTTAACCCTTGGTGGCATCTCAGTGCTGTTGATCGCTTGCAGGCTCTTTACAGCCACTCCAGTGATGACTGCATGAGATGTTTCAGGGAGGAAAGTGACTACAGTTTACTTTGCCTTGGAAATGTGTGCTGAAACAGCCACAGCGTTTCGACATGAGGACGCAGAAGCACAATTGACAGTGAAAGAATATTGTCACCCTATAACAGGAAGTGCCCACACATTGACCTTCATGGGAGGATCAGCAGAAATGATTGTAACAAAAGCTGCAGATTTAGTAATATTAAATATGACTTTTGAAATCACATTGCTATTAAAGCTTATATGGGATTTTAATAGGTTTACATAGACTATATGGCACAGTGCATACCTCTGTGTTTTTAGGGGTTTTACATCATATCACCAATTTCCTTCGAAAAGTCTAATCTTTGCCTTTTTGGGTTTCAACACAGTTCAGGAGGTTTTGTAATCTCTCGTTTTGCAGCTGACTTGCAAGTGAGGCTCCCATATTTTGCTATATACGGTATGTGAGGCTGATTTCCTTTCTGCATGTAGAAATCAAGCATATAGTTCCAAACCTGAGACAGGCTTTTGTGAAGTGCTGACAGCTATGTGGTGTACCTTATCGTCACACGGTGCATTTCCTGTGTCATAACTCTTTTTAGAGCTGAATTTGTTACTGCGGTTTTGAGTCACTACTCATAGTAAGTGGATAATGGTAACTTGCTGTTCATATAACTGACCGTATGTGACCACCTGTTTGGAAAAAAAAGATACTTGTTCTTTTTCTTGCTATGAAATAAACTTGAATTGGCAATCCAAAAGCAGTCTACCTATTGTCATTAGGTCAAGTGACAACTTCATGCATAGTCATTTCTAGATCTTTCCTTCCATCTACGTTAGGCTCAGTTCATTAAAACTATCAACCAGGAAAAGGATCATTATTTTTGTAAAAGTGACAGTTGTTTTCAGAGTCCTAAGAGAATTAAAAATAAGTCATGTGGCTAAGATTAAAGACTCTTAACCCCTGCAAAAGTTTGTGAATAGAGCCTGTTATTGTATATTGATCGTACAGTATTTCTCATAATTTAAAAACAAACATCCTTCAGGGGTAACTGAACTCCTGGAAGATGAACGCCCTAAAAAAAAGGTGGACAGAATGCTAAGGAATTGTCACCAGTATTGTCTGTTGGCTCCATGCAGCTGATCTCCATTACTGATCTACTGTGCCTTGTTCTGCACTGTAATAGATAGATGTCACCAGGACCCCAACAATATCAAAGTCCAAAAAGGTCATTTATTGGAACGTCATGTCACCTACACTGGCGCTTTCGGGGCCGCCCAGGGTCCCCTTCATCAGGCTCAGCAATCAGGTCATTGCTGAGCCTGATGAAGGGGACCCTGCATGGCCCCGAAAGCGCTAGTTTTGGTGAGATGACGTTCCAATAAATGACCCTTTTGGACTTTGATATTGTTGGTGTGCTGGTGGCATCTATCTATTTTTGTACTGAGTGGCGGCGCCATCCACGGTCAATGCAAGCACCCAAATACCCCCCCCCCATTCAATTTTGTGTTTTTTTTTACGGTGAGGAGTGCGATAAGCTATCTTTTTCATTTGTTGTTGTTCTGCACTGTGTCTCCGTATAGAGGCGCCATCTTGGTAGAAACAGGGTATTGCTTAACCTCTATTTCAATCTCTGTTGCCCATATATTTGCAAAAATAATTTTCCACTGGGGTTCTGAATGCATGTACTTTTGTTACACGAGTAAAGACTGTATTGGAAACACGTCTTTGTACTTTCTAGTCACATTGACTTTGTGTTCTTGTTGTTCTTTGCTAGAAACTCTGTGCAGAACTTTAGACCTGGCAGAAGTGGCCATGAAACCAGAAAGAGTACATTCTACACAAATGAGGAATGGGAACTGCTGAATCCCACTGTTAAAGAACTTGAGGAATCACTCCTACATGAGGAGAGGAAGAGACCTTCAATGGAAGCAGGACAAAAAAATCCAGGTATGAAATTATATATGAGAGGGAGAGAAAGAAACCAGACGCATAGCTCTTATATCACCTATTAACTGCCTCTTGTTTTTATTCCTGTTAACCTTTCCTGTATCTATCCAGTTATGAGACACCAAATTATTTTTTATCCACCCTCTGGCACTGTAAAAAGAGCACGTGATTGGACATAGAATCCCTTTTATATGCTAAAATTAACCCAAGGAAGAAACTAATAAAGACATATGAGTGTATCTTTTTACTGTTACAATCTGAAAAACCACTGGATGACGATCCTGCTCCACCATATACAGCCCCTCCCCCAGCACCCTGATTTTCAGCATTCGCCCCCCAGGAGCCTGCAGCTACCTCATGGCACCTCACCTCTCTCCCCCCTCCCCTCCATTTGTCAGGACCACCATTCCGTTGAAAAGATGAAAAGCAGTGTCTTCTTTTCTGTTTCTCTGCTCTACTGGTGCTGACACAGCTCCCATTCTCTGGTCTGCAGATGTGAACTTTGCTTGCTTGCTGCAGTGCAAGAAGCAAAACTGGCAGCTGTAGAGCTGCAGTAGTGCCAGGAGAGCAGAGGATCCAACTGCAACAATACTGAACACTGATATGGAAATACTCAAGGTCACACTCCACCTCTCAGAGTGCACAATTCTCAGCCAGCAAGCCTGCATTGTTGTGAGGTGGAGCAGCAGGGTGCCTGACAGACCTTTGCTAGTCTCCTTAATATTATTCGCTGATGCCATGTATATATGTGGGAAATCTGTAGCTGGTTTCCATATATGTGCTCTTTTTTTGATGCCATGCACATGTATGTAAATTCCTCTGCTGACTTCCATATCCCTACTCTGGTATTACAACATTGTTATTCTTTGATTTCATGTACATGTATGTGCATTTTTCAGATGCATCTGCACGCTTGTACTGCAAATGTGTGCCGATTGAACTGTCTCCTCTCTTTCTTGCATGTAAACACATTGCATTTGCTTATGGCATATAATAGATTACACTAGAGATGGAAATATAAATGCAGATAAAGCATGTTGACTGATATTTTTTTTGTTCTTTTTTTTAAATTCATGTTACGCTGTATAATTGGTAACTATATGTACATTGGGGCAGCCATATTTGCTCATACTTATTTACTGTGCTATACAATGTTTACCCTTCTCCCAATGTAAAGCTGGCTATACATCAGTAGAATATTGTTAGAAAATGTATGGAACTTTCGTTCAATTTCCTAATAGTATATGTGGACAAATCAACAATTGTTTCTTGACCATGGGGAAAAAAAAATCAAAGGCCCAGGTTAAAAAATGTTCTCATTTCTTATCTGAACGAACAAAATTTTAACAGTGGGTGCTCGTTCACACAAAGTGTTGAGGGTTCCGCTGGCCGCTTTTTCCAGTGCAACCCTAATATGTATACAAGGCAATTTTCCTTGTTTGGACTACAGTATGTCATGCTGTACTTTTTTTTTTTTTTTTACAGTGTGGTGCAACACAGTACAGCTGCATTGCACCGTGCTGTGCTGATACATCCTGAAAGAGCACTATGGGGGTAACCTTTTTTTCGCTTCAATAGCCCGCTATATACTGAGTTTTGGGTCACGGGAGGACGTTGGTATATGTCCTCCCATGACCCAAAACTCAGTATATAGCGGACTATTGCCCGCTATATGCTGAGAGTGCTGTAGCCATGAAGGATCCCACCAGTACTGTCGGGATCCACCCCGCTGGCTGATTGACAGCGGGCTCTGCCTATCTAGAGGTAGTGCCAGATGGGCCCGCCCCCTCCCTGTCCGTGCCTCCAGTCAACTTTCTTGGTCTGGAAAATTTGTTCAAATGATTCTGTATGGTATAGCAATGTATGAAAGAAAAATACAAACAGTTTTTTTTTTTTTTTTTGTAATGTATGTAAAATTGGACTTAAGGAGATTGCAGTGTATGTAAGGTGAACACTAATAATAACTCAAAATGTGCGCTCTCTAAAAGTACATTATAGTTTTCCGCTCAGATTATGATTATTGTTAAACTTTTAACGATTATGAAATAAAGCAAAACTAATCATTTGTTCTTTGTGTTCATTTTATTTTACCAGGAATGGTTTTCCCATTTGATTTTCCACGCCTCCCTGCAAAAGTCAAGCGCCCATTATCACATTTTAATAAGAATTCAAGCATCTTGGATAATTCTCCTGTGGAGTCTGTACCAGGAAATGACTCAAAAGTTGACTTTGACCTTCAGCTAAAGCTTCAGAACCAGCAGGGGGAGCTGGAAAGACTAAGGCAGGAGCTGAACAGCCAAAAGGTTAGTTGCATATATACTATTACTTATTTTTATTTTATGTATTTACTCTATACAGCATCAACATATCACACAGTCCTTTACAGAGTGCATAGAACCCTAGTTCTAGTGTACGACCCAGTGCAGGCCACAATGTCTATACAATACACACTCCACCTGTACCCGCAAGGACCATTTTGGTCAAAAGACACTAATATTTTAGCATTTTTGAAAAGCAGTTTTAAACGCCCAAAACAATAAATCCCATGATTTTCGATGGCCTCTGTTCACATCTGAGCAGCAAAAACGCAGAAAAAAAATACATGAGCTTTTTTTGGCAGTTTCAAGCTTGTTTTTTCCCCCCATAGACTTCAATGAAAACGCCAGGAAATGTGTGGCAGAAGCATGTTGCACAGTTTCGTGCATGTTTTTGCACGTTTGTACGCTGACCTTAATGTTTCTTGAGCTTCCAGTCAAAACGCACGTCTTCATGCACGTAAAAATTTGCCAAACATGCAAAAAAACGCATGCTGAACCACGTACAGACGCACAAAAACAATTCCTCCTTGGTGTGAATGGGGACTGAAAGTGTGCATTTGACTGACAGCAGTCTTTGGGAGGCACAATGTCCCTGATGAAAACATACAGATATACACACCACATTCTGTACGGGGAGATCATGTGATAATTAGTGTAGTCATGAATCAAGGATGTACCACATCCAGGGCACATGCACCACGACATTTATGTGTGTGGACCTTTACTTCTGAGCTCATGCAGTATGAATCTGTGCTTGCCTGTTTTAAAAGTCTGAATATTTTGGCACATTGTTGGCAGTCATGCCACATTTTACCATGGTAGTTTGTAACTGGTTCCTCTCCAGCTCGCTCATTGCCTTCTCCCATGCTTGCCTCCAGGATTTTTCCAGTGCCCCTCCCATTCTCTGGAGCTTCCTACCCCAATCTGACCACCTATCTTCTACTTTGTCCACCTTTGGGTGATCCCTGAAAGCTCATCTCTTCAGGGAAGCCTCTACTTAACAACTAAAATGTTACTTTCTCCATCAAATCACCCTCTCACGGCTACTACCTCTTGTATCACTAGCCCCTCACTTTTAGATTGTAAGCTCTCACGATCAGGGCCCTCATTACCATCTTGTAACTGTACTGTCCCCCCTTTATTTTGTAAAAATTCATGGTGCTATATAAATCCTTTTTATTATTAATAATAATAAATTGTAAATAGAGGACTGTACAATATCACAAGATGGAGATGTTAGAGTTGTAAGTGTCATATAGTAAGTCTTTTGCTGCAGATGTAACATCATTTTTAGTGAAGGTATAGGCTGCGATCCAACAAAATGGCTGCCTCTACTTTGTGTTTGTGACAACTATGTTTTAAGTGACTCTGCCATGAAGAATACCTTTGTGTTAAGCATCACATGGAAGCCGAAGGCAGCCGAGTGAACAACTGAGCTGAAGTGAAGGGAGCCGAACCCCGTTCAGCTATTCACTTCAGCCATGTATGCTGAAGTGAATAGTATAACTGGTATGACTTTTGGGGGGGAATGCCACACACTTTTTTTTTTTTTTTTTTACTTGGGGTCCCTCCTAACTTTCCTAATCAGACCTAAAGGGGTCTGGTATGGATGGGGTATGACACCGTTTTTTTTATTAACGTGTTTTTTTTAAAAATGTGTTTACATTTTGTGGAGAGAAAGGTCTGCTTCTTCAGATCGTTCTGTCTGCTTTGGCTGTATTTTCGGCTCAGCCGAGCCGAAGAATGTGCGTTCGGCTGCTGTACGGGCTATTGTGCATAGCCCATACAGCAGCCCTTCTGTTTGGCTGAACCAAAGGGCTTGGGCAGCCGAAGTGAGCCGACGATTAGCAGAAGCTATGGCTGTATCCTTCGGCACTTTAGTGAAAAATCAGTTTGACTGCTACGGATTTGTTGTGTGACCCAGGAATTAAGGAATGGCAGCTTCCAATGTAGGCTTCTGATACAGGTATTTTGCTTCATTACAGATGTTCTTTAAGAGTAGGAAATAAAGTACCGCTCTCTAGATAGAAGTAAATGTACAGATGTCCATGCTGGTACACTGCTGAGGGTCTCACAAAGTAGAAAAATGAAAACTTTATTCCAGGAATTTTTTTCTGTGCATGCTGGCAAGAAAGTTACATTTTAGGAAATGTGAGCTGAAGCAGTGTCTTGTGATTAGGGGTCAAACCAGTGGAAATATTCAGCCATTAATCATGTTCATTTGCAAGGATTTACCAAAGATGTTCTTCCCCAGCTGGATATTGTTATGTCTGAATGCTATAAATAGCTTCTTGATCATGTGAGTTGTGTGCGTATCTCTTTTTCCTTTTGGAAGTGTTCAGGATTTTGGATGTGTTTTATAGCATAGTCTCTCTAATCTTGTGACATGCATAAATCGTTAAGCAGTGAGGGCAACCAGACCCAGCTGCAGGAAGGTTTTGTGTGTGGTTTTATGTGCTGATTGCAACATTTTTCTGTGTGTTTTGGGTGCACATAGAATTCAGTGCCTTTTGATGAAATACATCAAACACCAAAGTGCTCTATACAATACCTTACTAGAAGATAATTTCTGATTGGTTTAGTGCATGTTTCACATTACTCTTTGTCTCAATTAATTAGCCTCTGTAGGCCTTTCCTAGGGCTGCACCAATGGCCTACACAAGAGGTCCTAAAACATTTTAAACAATGGGTCAGTTCACTGTTTTTCCGATTGTCGGAGGGCCAGACTGTGTTTATTGGGAGTGAAAATTGCCCCAGGGTTAGGGGTCATTGGGAGTAAAAAAAAAAATGTCCCACTGTTGGTTAGCAGGAGAAGGAATAGTGCCTCAGTTGTTAACAGTGGAAGAAATTGTGCCCTAGTATTGGTGCCAGTTGGAAAAATAGTTTTCTTTCATAAGTGTCATTAAGAGAAGGTGTCCCATCGTTGGTATCGGTAAGAAAAATAGTGCGCCATTGCTGGTATTAGTGGGGAAAAATAGTGCGCCATTGCTGGTATTAGTGGGGAAAAATAGTGCCCCATCGTTGGTATTAGTGGGGGAAAATAGTGTTTCATTGTTGGTATCAGTGGGAAAAATAGCACTTCATTGTTGGTATAAGTATGTGAAATAGTGTCCCATTGTTGGTATTAACCCCTTCATGACTGAGCTTGTTTTTGGTTTCTGTTCGTAAATGACTGACACACTTTTGACATTTTTGCTGTGTGATTCTTCCACGTCAGTAATATACTTTCTTACAAAGTGCACCCACACATATTATATATTGTTTTTTAGAGGACAGATAGGGCTATATATTTATATCACATGTGTGTCTAACGCCTCACTTAGGACAAATACAAATAAAAAAAGAGGAAAAAACGTAAAAAAAAACCTTTTTCCCCAGTTTTGATTTGTAGTATTTTTTTTTTTTAACAAAACCAGCACAGCTAAAAAAAAAATGCAATACGTACATTCATTTATTTGTCCCTTATTTTAAATTTTTTTACACTTTTCACTATTTTTTTTTATTTATTTACACTTTTCACTTTTTTTATACTTACAAATTTTATTTATTTAATTATATCAGGCAGTCATTGTGAATTAATCTCACTATTACTGCTTGATAAATTAATACATTTTTTTTATTATCAGGCTGCTTCAAACTTCAGAACAGCCGATAATAAGTTAGTGACACTGATCCTGCAGCAGTTCAGGATTCAGCTGTCAGTGAATGTTTCAGAAAACTTAAACATTCTACTTTCAAGAATAGATACATTATGTGTCTAATACATAACATTTTGTATCTATTCTTGAAAGTCAAAAGATAAAAAAAAAAAAAGCCAGTATAGCTTGAGAGAGATATCTCTCGATCTATACGAGCTGTCAGAATGCCGGCAAAAGCCGACATGTGTGTCTGCTTTGCTGTGACTCTCAGACACCCGATATTAAGGTATCGGGTGTCTGAAAAAGGTTAACCCTTTCAGTAATGGATCTCTAGATAGTTAGACATCCATTACTGAAAGGTAACCGCTGATTCTCAGCGGTTAGCAGCCTTCTAGTGCAGCAAATAACTCGTCACGTACAGTGTACGTGACGAGTCATTTGGTCCCTTTGTGGCTGGACGTAGAGTGTACGTCTCCCGTCACGAAGGGGTTAAAGGGGAACAATAGTGCCCCATTGTTGGTATTAAAGGGGAAAAATAGTTCCACATTGTTGGTATTAAAGGGTAAAAATAGTTCCCCGTTGTTGGTATTAAATTGGAAAAATAGTTCCCCATTGTTGGTATTAGTGGGTGAAATAGTGCTTCATTGTTGGTATCAGTGGGAAAAATAGTGCCCAATTGTTGCTATCAGTGGGCGAAATAGTGCTTCATTGTTGGTGTCAGTGGGTTTAGGAAATTCTTCCCTCAGCATTGGTGTTAGGTGGTTCCATTTGTATAGGCTTCATGTTCCGCATTGCTCCTCTGGCCAGATGATGTTATGGCTGGAACTATGTAAGCACCATAGGGCAGGAGATTACGCTACTGGACAGTACCGGCTAAGGTTCATTGCTACTGTGCAGATAAGATAAGAGTAAGGTTCAGTAAAAGGCAAGCAGCAGGCCTTAGTTTCTATTGTATGTGTTTGTTATTGTAAACCCTCTTTAAAAGTCCTGGGCTATGTTGGCATCGGTTTGCACTCATATTTATTTCCATGAGGAGGCTGTCTGTCAGACTGCTTGTGGCCTCTCCATTAAAATTCAGTAAATGTCTGCACGCCTGTACCAGTTTCCTGAACACTGTGGCAAGGCACTCCACAAACTCCACACTGCTAAGACAGAATTGTTTTAGGTAAGTAAATCCTATTCTTAAAAGTGTGATGGGAGGGGGGATTAGAAGGATAGATGTAGTTCGTAGTAGTACTTTTATCCTTTAGCTTACTTTGAGGGACAGTTGTCTTATAGAGGATTATCTATCTATCTATCATCTATCTACACATACACTACCTTATTATTGTCAGGGCTTCCTTTTTTTTCATAGGTAAATATAAAATGTTGCCCATGAATGTCTAGCTACTAGGTGGCGCTGTAGGCTCACCTCTATCTGTTATGGTCTTTGTTTTAAACATCTTGTTGTTTGCAGAGCTTATTAGCTTAAGCTAAAATGTACACACACACAAGCAAATGTTTCAGACCAGCCACTCATCCTGTATTGAATGGTTCTGTAGGTAGCTTCAGTCAGACAAAGCAAGGCTCTGGGCAGGCAGCTACTGGTGCACTTTCCTTTTACCTAGAGTGCTCTTTCAAGAAAAATCTCCTCTGTGCCGTTGTTAAATTAGTTTTACATTTTTTAATCAGATATTTTTTCTAATTGTTTTTAAACAACAAAAGAAAATAAAAACAAATTAAAATACAGCATATCCATAATATAACGTACCACAGGACAGTATGTGAAAATGTTATTTAAATATCCAGTATAATAGCTGCACAGGCATCTTTATTAACATGTACAGGTTGCAAGAACATCCTTGTCAAAACCTCATTCTACTTTACGTAGATAACAAACCAGAGATGCCAACCTACCCACACACATCACCTTTGCCCAAGTTGGCCACAGCCAGGGGGTGCCTATTACCAACAAGATAGCTGTTGAGGAAAGACTCAATTTCAGATAACTATCAATTCTCTGAAGATGTTTCTCTTAAATGTTTGGTGCAATGGCTGTTGGTGGAGCTTAGCCATGGAGCTACGGAAAGTCAAGCCCACCTAACAAAGTGAAACTAGGGCAGAGGAGAGGATTTTGTGGCTGATAAAAGTTTTAGCTTTTAGGCAGATTTACTTTTTAAATATATCATGTAATACAGGTTCATTTTAAAGGGAGACTCATTTCTACTCATACGTGATTTTTATTAATTTAGTTGCATGTTTTTTATTTATTTATTAGTTTATTTGGATCTCTTGTGTGTTCTGCATGTTTGCACCTTTTTTTTTGGAGTATGTGATATAAAACGTATACTACAATTAACTAATAGACCCAGAGCAGTGAATCCTTAGTTGGTAGGAAGGAGAACATTACTTTATGAAGTTTGTTATACATTGAGCTTTTCATGATGCTATATTAATAGGACTCATAATGCAAATCTCCAGCTACAACTAAGCTGACCACATAACATGACCCCCAAACCAGTGTCCGATAAAAGCAAACAGCCACTCTGAGAAAGTACATGGATTGATTTGAAGTAATTGGGAGTCTGTTTAAACAGCCCCGATGCTGGCGACGTACACTGTACGTCGTCAGTCACGAAGGGGTTAATGTAGTCTACCTTCATTTCATGCAGGCCTGAACAAGTAACAAAGCTTGTCTACTATTAAGCAGTAGAAGTGTCCCTCATTCTGCCTATGTAACCGAGAGATACAAATACAACCATTTTTCAGGTCCTGTATATTAGCTTCTCTGTCAACTACAAGAAACGGGAACAAGTGTTAACTGGTTCTAGTTAGTGACTTCTGCAGCTACTCATTTTAAACCAATATTGTTTGCTTGTTAGTTTAGAGGTTGTCCATGGTATCAAAGGAAACCCTGAGATTGATTAAATTGCAATCTACAACAAAATCCTTTACGTGAAGTGTTATTCTTCTGTTCAGTATGATATACAGTAAAAGCAGAGCCAATGGAAAGAGAGAGATTAAAGTGAACATGTGCTTTGCCCAGGCAGGGTAAAATAACGTGATCACTTTAACGTAACTCTGCCGAGCAGCATATACTTACTTTTAGTTAGCTACATGCTCTTCCATACCTGAAAGTACATGCATTTCCTTCTTCTGTCAGTACTGAACCGAACAATGTAAATGCGAAGTAAATGTGAGTATATGGAGGGGGTAGGCGAATTAAGTAAACCTGTGCTTTGTCCTAAATAGGCAAAGCACAGGTTTGCTTTACAACTACTTCTAAAGACCATTGAAACAATTAGTAGGTCTGGCTATTTGGGGTTTTCTACACCCTAGTTTTTGATTTAAGATATTTGCATGGAGTACCCCTGATACAATAAAAAGTGTATAGACACTTCTATGCAACTATATGCTGCCGATTTACATATTTGAACCCGTTTGCTGCCACAGACATAAGTACCACGACCATGGCTGCAGGTTGCAGGAGTTTGTCTATGCTCTTATAGCTGACTCCTGGCTTCCCGTGGAATTGACACCAGCAAGGTTACTCCCTCCCCCCACTGCTATTGCCCCTGTCTGACACCCCCCCACGTATTTCAGGTTGCTTTTGCTACAGATCCAGGACAGCCATGGTGGGTATCGGTGTACCAGTATCAGTCTGAGCTGTAATTCCAATGCCGCGATATGTGTTTGATCAGCTTCATGGAGGTCCATAGGTGACATTATGGAAATAATAGACCCCTGATGTCTCCCTAAAGAGGACCTGTCACCAGCAATATGCTTTCACATAGGGGGCTACGTATGAAAATGACAATTGCGGTACACGTGTTGGCTTACATTGGATCGAGAGCAATAGTTGTAGGGCAGTTATTCACAGTTAACGTTGAAGGCTTTTAACCTATTCCCTTTTTTTTTTTCTTGTTTTATACTTGCAGGGGCCTGATGCCGCTGACATATGGCATATGTCTGTGGCAGTTAAAGGGTTTAAAGCTTCATCTATGGACATTTTGGGGTGCCAAAGTTTTCTGCCATTCACAGGCACATGCAATTTTGAGGGATGACATGTTTGGTATCTATTTACTTGGCACAACCTCATCTTTTATATTTTCCCACAGAAATGGGTAATATACAGGTGAAACTCGAATAATTAGAATATTGTGCAAAAGTAATTGCAGTAAGTGCTGCAAAAGGGGCCCAAACCAAGTACTGAGTACATATGCATGCTTGTACTTTTCAGAGGTCCAATATTGTTCTATGTACAATCCTTGTTTTATTGATTGCATGTAATAATCTACTTTTTTGAGGTTGTGGATTTGGGGTTCTTGGGGTTTTCGTGAGCTGTAAGCCATAATCATCACAATGATGACAAATCACAGCTTGAACTATCTTGCTTTGCATGTAATGAGTCTTTCTCATATATTAGTTTCACCTTTTAAGTTGCATTAGTGAAATAAATGAACTTTGCACGATATTCTAATTATTCGAGTTTCACCTGTATTGTATTTTTGTGTACGAAAATAAATTGGAATGTATTTTATACTAAAAATTTGGGCTTGGTAAACAAAAATTGCAACTGACACCATTTTATTCTACAGGGTCTCTGCCTTCAGAAAATACTTTTTTTGGGTGGGATCAAATTTGGAAGCCTAAAATATGCATTTTAAGGTGTGTGCAAAAAATGGCTTTGGTAGCCAAAGGGTTTAAGTCCATAAGTGGTCTTTAGGTTGAGTCAGGTTTAGGTTAGGTTTTCTTGTATTGATCACGTAAAGTGAGTTTCTGTAAGACATTGTTTCTCCTTATTTTCTTACCAGGAACTTGTAAAGCTTTTGCAGCAGTCACTGAGGTCATCGCAGTACGATAAATACCATTCCATCCCATTCAGTGATGGGCCCTCTAAAGATTACTCAACCTTGCTGCAACAAAAAGATGATCAAATTCAGGAACTGAATCATCTGCTGGAGAGGAAAGTTCAGGAGGAAGAGAGCCCTCACCATCAAACTGAGGACCTTAAACATAGCATGGAGAATTTAAAGGAGCAGCTCAACATGATGATGGAGACAATACAAGCAAAAGATGAAGTGATTATACGGTTATCCAGACAGATTAGTGACTATGAGCAGTTATCCCCTTTATCTAGTAAATCCTCAGAAAGCCTGGCAAGTTCTCACAAGGACCAAGAAGAGCTGAGCCGGTTACAAGTATGTACCTTATCTTCTGTATGGTATTTTGTTGTACAGAAATGAGTTTGACTAATGGGTAAAATGGGTGGATAACTTCCTACTGAAAGTCCAGACACACTCTCTTCTGGGGATCCCTTTTTTTACTGTTCACCTGTGTACACTTGGGTATCATCTTGTACAGTCCTCTTTCTCCCTGTCTTTCTACCTTTAATAAAGGCAAATAAAAGGAAATCAATAGATTTACATACTACCATCACCTGACCAAACTTTCTGCTCTGAGTGCCACCTGTAGCTGGTTGCTACAGGTGGCACAGGTGTTAATTTTAGTTTTCATCAACAATGATCTTTCCATGACTAAAACTCAAGAAAAACTAAGTTATGATGACTAAAACTATAGCAAAAATATATTGATATTTTAGTCGACTAAGTAAAACTAGACTAAAATGTTAGGGAGAGACAATTTGGGAAGAGATCCAATCAGTACTAATCGCTTCGGACTTCCGGTTCCATCCTGAATGGACAGCTAATAGGTAATATGCAATGGCTTTACAGCCAATATCGTTTTTCATATTTTAGAGTTGCATTCTGCTTGAAGGAATGAAGAATGCAATATGCATGTTGTTATAATCAATGGATATATAATTACTGGTCCTTTGTCGAAAATACTCCATATTATTGTTTCTTTATAAGACTTGGTTTAATCTAATTTTAAGATAAAGACATGTAATATATACTGAAGATCAGGGAAATCTGTGTCTGTATTGCATGTTCAAACTTTAATACCATCAGTAATAACAGGTTAACAGATGTTTACTCTAGAAGTACATAATTACATAATGAGATTGTAAATTCTACAAAAATTCTTAAATCTACTGTAGATTTAGTTGACTTAAACTAAAACAATTCAGATGACTAAAATATGACTAAAACGAAATGGCATTTTAATCAAAAGACTATGACTAAAACTATATCGAAATTTGCCGTCAAAATTAACACTGGTGGCACTTTTAACAAACTTGCCTGAAGTTGAATATATTCTGTTAAGTACCTGCAGCCCACACCTGCATTTAGGCATTGACCAATGTTTATTGGCTTTTGCCTAAATCCTAGTGATGCTATACTGTATAAGATAGGATCTTTAGTGATGAGGCAGGTCTGTCTGTATTGTGATCTTTAATGGGTATAGGGTAGTTTTGCACATGTGATTGCTAAATACACAAAAAGCATGATTTCTAGCAGTATAGACATGAGAAGATATTTTTCTGTAACAGGCATTCATGATGGTTTTAAAGGAGAATTATGGGGGTGAGTGAAATACACTTATCCCCATAATTAGAGCCGATGTGTGCTAATAAAGCTGTCGCACGTCGGCTCTATTGATCGAGAACTGATCGATTACATACCGCCGATCGCTCATTTTCCGATCAACTCTCTGCATAGAGCGGTGAGTGTCGGTCGCCGCTCCCCACAGGGATTCCCCCCTCTCCATTCCTCCAGCACTGACTAGGCGTATACACTTTAATGAGGCAGGCCTAGCAGCGGTGTGGATCCTGACAATTTTGTCGGGATCAGTGCCCGCCGCAGTGCGGATCTGTGCTTTTTGGGGTCACAGGAGGACATTAGTATATGTCCTCCTGTGACCCTAAAGAGAACTATGGCAAAAAAAGGTTGGGCCATAGTTTCTTTTAAAGGAGTATACATACATTTCTGGGATCATATCAGAGAGCAAGCAGCAGTTATTCCATATGATACATTTCTATGATAATCAGCTTTATTTTCTGCCATATTCATAGACCTGTAGCCATTCTCTGATCTGTTTTCAGCAAAAAAGATAAAACATTTTTCTTATATCTAGGGGTAGCTTTATAGTTTAATATATTTCAGATTTTTTCAACATTACTCAATCGTAAGATAAGCAAGATTATGCATTAGCAAAATGGGAAGTGCAATTCAAAAAGCAAATATATTATTGTAAAAGCTTCGGATTTTATCTTATTTTAGTGCCGTTCATTTTTCATCGATCATTGCCAAAGTGCAATCTAGCAACTGTTTGTCGAGCTGCAGTGAAGATATGGGTAAATAAATGTGCTTCAGTTCTGATACAGGTAAGGGGTTTTCTGTTTAGAAGTGTCACCCAAGGATCCATTGGAAGTGAGCACTCTAGTAAGGTAGAATTGAGGCTGTAGGTGAGTGTCCAAATGGTTTTGCTTACTGGGCAGTTCCACCATATTTTGAATAAGGAACCTGTTTCTAAACAGCCTTGAAAGCAGGTGGAAGGATAAACATGAAGAGTGTTGGCCACTTTCTCCAGGTACTTGGTACCAACGCATGAGGTGGTACCTCAGCAAACAGTGTTAGGATGGAGCAGGAGCAGACTGTGTAAGGTACCTTCCCCGATCTGCTCTCTGATCACTGAAGCATGAAGAGCTGCTCTCAGCGTTTCCTGCATCAGAGCTGTCAGAAGTCAGCTGAAGTTCTGATAAACAGAAGATGAAGCACATTCCTGTCCATCATTGTCTGTGTTGAAGGCACAGGGGAGACAGACATCAGGAGCCTAATTGACCCCTAATGTATCCATAAAGAGAACCTGTCACCTCCAAATGCTCTCACATAGTGGCTTGTTAGCTGCTTTGTGATGGCAAAAGTTAAGTAAAAAGAAAAAAAAAAGGTGATAAGTAAAAAAAAAAATGAAATAAAAATGAAAAACGTGATTAAAAAAAAAAGGTAATAAGGTGAAAAACAAAATGAAATAAAAAGGTGATAAATAAATAAAAAAATAATTTAAAAATAAAACAAAAAATAGATCTACATCTACATTATATTGTAATCTAAGTATAGGACATGGTTTTATTCTTGGTTGAGACTTATATCTGATTAAAATCGAGGAAAACTAGCGCAGAGCCCTTTTAAGGACAATCATAAAGTGCACGCAAGTGAACCCCTTTCTTTTAATGTGGCATTCATTGTTTTATGGCTGAATAATTGCTTTTTTTGAAAGGGTATTTAAACCCTCACGGTTTTTTGCATTTTTATTTTCTGCTAGCAAGCAGTACACATTTAAAAAAAAAAGTCACCAAACAAATTTAAACTTACCTGTGTCTCCGACACACGCTCCCATGCGAAGATCTGAAGATTCTCGGGCAGCCGCAAAGGATCATGGGGCGGTCGCATGCGCAGTTCGGATTTTCGGCCGGGAGATGAGAGACGCAGGGTAAGTCAATGCAGGCAGCCCAGCAGCGTGCATCCACACAGACTCCGTGGGACACAGAAGACGCAGCAGTCAGCACTGTATCAGAGAACGGCACCAACGCTGGAGGGACTACTGAAAACTACAGGAAAGAAGAAGACTATCGGATCAAGAGGCATCATTAAAGGCAAGTCCTTACACTAGCATTTGGGGGGGAGGGAATTTTTTTTACTTTAATGTCACTTTAAGGTATTTGTATGAGTAGGAAAATCTGTCACCATACTACTGAAAGTATAATGGTTTTTAGTTTTTTTCTTGTTTTGTATAGAGTAAAGGAGGGTTATAATTCCTGTCATCTCTTTTTTTGCCACCTGTGTCCTATTGGGGAGATTTCCCTTCACTTCCTGTCAGCCACAAGAGGAAGTGAAAAGCAATCCGTCCAAAGTGAGGGAAATCCCTGGTGGTGAGTAGGATCATCAGAACTAGTATAGCCATTGGAAGAATTCAAATCTGTTCCTGTTTTGGTGACCACCCAAATTTTTGGATGTTCTTTCATGTTCACTTTTAGTGATAACGGTCACCAGGACAAATAGAGAGAGTGAATTTCCCTAATGGGGACACAGATAGCAATGATAACCTGACAGGGGTTCTAATCCCTCTCCACTCTATACAAAACTAAAAATGTTTTGGCTTCAGTTGCACTTGGATAACCTTACAAATGCCTTTAAGTTCACAAATCAGCCTTCAAAGTAGCTACTGCTCAGAACAAGACAGAAGTAATAACTGTTTCAACAAAAGAACACAAATGTATATTCCTTGCACGGTGTATTGCTACTGAAAAGAAGCAATGCTTCTAAGTTATGCTTTGACCTTGGATGAGCTGTTGCAGATGCAGAGAGAGCCAGCTACTTTGTGTACTGACCTTTTAACAGACACAAACAAATGATACTTTCTAACCACTTTGTGTTCTGTTATATA